CTCATTCCTTTTGATGGCTGCATAATATTCCATTGTATATATATACCACATCTTCTTTATCCAGTCATCTGTCGATGGACATCTTGGCTCTTTCCACATAAACATGCATTGTTTTAATGAACAAATAATTGCATGTTGTGTATTCAAATCACAGCTGATTCTGCTGTTGGGTACAGCGGCCGAGGCTCTTGACCGCCGGAGAGAAAGAAGGCACTTTCTTTTTTTTTTTACTTTTTTAAGATTTTATTTATTTATTTGACAGAGAGAGACACAGCGAGAGCAGGAACACAAGCAGGGGGAGTGGGAGAGGGAGAATCAGGCCTCCCGCCGAGCAGGGAGCCTGATGCGGGCTCGGTCCCAGGACCCTGGGATCATGACCTGAGCCGAAGACAGACGCTTAAGGACTGAGCCACCCAGGTGGCCCCAAGAAGACACTTTCAATAGTCGAGTAACAGTGGGTGGAACAGCACATTGGAGATGTTGATAGGTTAAGGCAGAAGGAGGGTGTGGTGATATTTCACCAACCAGCTGAAGGAAGTCACCACATACAGAGTCAGAACACACACAGCTCCCTCCTCCTTCAGGAGGGCAGCAGATACTTAGTAGCGTGTGCTTTGACGGGCACTTGGTTTTTCTTGTTAAAGCCAGCTCCTGCAGTTTGCTATTAGCCCCCAGCCCTACTCTGTCTTTAGTTCCTTAAGGAGAGTTCTCTGGGTTGAACCACCTGACTGGTTTCAGAGATTCAGTTCGGAGCCTTTCTGACCTTATCTCCTCCATTAAGAGAATTGAGCTGTAATTACTATAAATAAAATTCCATTCTAGTGTGCAAAGCCAAGTTTCACATTGTTAAGATGAGTTATTTATATGGACTTTGGAAATATTTGATTGTTTTAACCAGGTAAATGAGTTTCTTGCAATGACGGATGAACAGAAAACAGCACTGAAGTGGCAATTTCTTCTGGAAAGAAGCAAAATTTATTTAAAAGTTAGTGTATTTTACAGTACTATATCATTCTATATATTCAAGTAATAAGAAAATCCTAGAGTATGACCTAATAAATTAGGGAATTTGTTATTTTTAATAATGTCCAGTTCCCAAATATGCAGAAGAATTTGGCTAACATGGAAACAATGCAAGTAATCAGTTTTTTGTTTTGTTTTGTTTTGTTTTTTTGTATAGTATAAAGGGATTCCTCATGACACCAAAGGAATAGACCAACATGGGTGTCTGGTTGACTCAGTCGGTAGAGCATGTGACTCTTTTTTTAAAAAATATTTTTAAAGTTTAAAATCAATTAATTAACATATAACATATTATTTGTTTCAGGGGTACAGGTCTGTGATTCATCAGTCTTACATAATACCCAGTGCTCATTACAACACATACCCTCCCCAATGTCCATCACCCAGTTACCCCATCCCTCCACCCTGCTCCCCTCCAGCAACCCTCAGCATGTGACTCTTGATCTTGAGGTTGTGAGTTTGAGCCCCACGTCCGGTGTAGAGATTACTTAAAAATAAAATCTTGGGGAAAAAAAAAAGAAATAGACCAACAAAGACAATATCTGTTATGTTTAGTCCAAGGAGGGCCCTGGGCTGTAGAGTCAAAGCTGGTCCCCCACCCCTGTCCCACCCCCATCCCGCCAGTGTAGCAGTGCTCCTCACTTCAGTGAGAAGTATCAGGTGGCACAGTCACACAGGGGAGAGATGGACTGGGTTTGAACCCCAACTCCACCACTCCTCAGCCTCTTTGACCCTCTAGACTCTCAAGCCAACTCTCTGCTGAGTGGAGCCCGACATGAGGCTTGATTCCAGGACCGTGAGATCATGACCTGAGCCAAAACCAAGAGTCTGACGCTCAACCAACTGAGCTACCCAGGCGCCCCAGTATTTTAATGTTTTAAAACACATGGGGATATGAACACAAGTCCTTGTAAGTCTGATATTAGTGTCAAAGAATGATTTCCAAAAAGGGTAAATCCATGACTCTTATACAAAAATAAAATGAACGTGTCAAAGATTTAATTCATTAATCAGTGAAGAAACTAGGAAGGAGTTCTTAAAAAATGAATTCAAAGAAGAATTAGAAGAGTAGACACAGAGGCCAACAGTCAGCAGTGCTGAACTGGGGTTATGTGTAGATGACAAAACCCGCCTCTTCTGCAGGGCAGCGCCGACTACATCTTCACACAGACAGGATGCCTTTGGATTTCCTGAATAGGACTGCTATTTGCATCATTATCTGTTTTCTACAACATGCTGTTGAAAATAGCTCAGCCATGGCCACAAAAGGGGCCGAGCCCTACAGAATGAGGCCACCCAGACCGTGGGAGGAGCGCTCCAGTGAAAGACGCCCACTTATCCTCATTGCCCACCTTGGCCTTTCACAGTGCTTCCTGACGTTAGTCTGTTCTGCATCATCACATCCCCAGAGCCTAACAGACTTGGGTTACTACCACAGGTTAATGCCTGTCACAGCTGCTAGTTTGAACACACTTTATTTTTGCATATTATTTCTTTTTTTTTTTTTGCATATTATTTCTCTATTTAAGTCATCTCTACACCCAGCGTGGGGCTCAAACTCACAACCGGGAGATTGAGAGTGGCATGCTCTTCCAATGGAGCCAGGCCAGTGCCCTTTGAACACACTTTAAACCCTTCTTTTGTAGGTGTTGGATTTGAAACTCCAACTTTCCTACCAAAAGAGATATGTCATGAGAAAAGTAATATAGATTTTTTTAAAGATTTTTTTTTTATTGGGCGCCTGGGTGGCTTGGTTGGTTAAGCGACTGCCTTCGGCTCAGGTCATGATCCTGGAGTCCCTGGATCGAGTCCCACATCAGGCTCCCTGCTCGGCATGGAGTCTGCTTCGTCCTCTGACCCTATCCCCTCTCATGTGTTCTCTCTCTCTCATTCTCTTTCTCTCAAATAAATAAATAAAATCTTTA